GGGCTGGAAGATGTGCACACACACACACACACACACACCCACAGGAGCGCGCTCCCGCAGGGACGTTCCAGGATTCTGGAGGCCCAGGTGGTTGGCAGTTTTAACTGCTCTTCAACCCCCCCAAGGCCACCCTCTCCTGATAGGAGCCAGTAGCCCCTGTGGCCATTCACATTTAAGTTGTGACTAATTAAAGTCAACATTTAAAAGTCCCTTCCTCCGTTGTTGCATTGGCCTCCTCTAAGTACTTAGTAGCCACACACGGCTAGCGGGTACCACGCCCGACAGCGCACACACACAGCGTTTCCAGCACTGCAGACATTATCTATTGGACAGCAAAGCTCTGAAGGACCTCTCTCTCCTGCATCTCTCTGGCCCCCTATCCTGGTAAGTGGTAATAACTGGTGATCGTGATGACCGTGGCAGGTAATTCCTCGAGCACTTCCGCACACTGCGCCCCCGGCCGCCTACCGGCTCCAGGCAGAGGAGACCCTTCTCCGACAGACTCAGAGCAATCCAGTCTTTTTGCCCCAGGCCGAAGTTCAGTCCTCTGAATTCCATTCCGGACCTCAGAGTTCTGAACCTTTGGGGTACGCTCTTTCCACAGCAGAGCTAAGACCCTGCCTCACTCACCTGCCACGAAGGGCTTCAGGTCGAACACGTCTCCTTCCTCATCCTTGGGGACCTCGCCGCTGGGCCCGTGGCCACTGTCAGGGAGGAGCTCCTCGCCCAAGGCCCAGTACGTGTGACAGTGCCCCAGCCTCCGGGCGCAGAGCCGCTGTCCCGCCCTCCACAGAGCTAGCCCCCCACCGAGGCAGCTCAGCACACGCCTCACGTAGCCCATCACGCCCCTGTCCGTCAGCGACACCCCGGGGTCTGGCAGGATTATTGGCTGTCCAGGCAGTGTCTGGTCTGCATCTGACGCCACCAGCCGCAGGCCCCCCGGGCAGAGGGCAGTCTGCTGGAAGACTTGGCGGCCCCGGTAGAAGGCAGTCAGCTCGAACTCCCACTCT